CAGCGAGCTGTATGGGCACAGCTGGGTACTACTTTATAGTATGTTCATTCTACTCACTGGGGTTTATGCCTAAAGTCAGACTTGGGTTCATGTATAGGTATGTGTCAGCTGTGCTAGCTATTGGATATATTTAGACTAATTAAGTTCATTGGCAGAACAATTGAATGGGGGGGGAAGGCTTGGAGGGCAACCATGGATGTCAGGGACAATGGGGGAGGAGGATGGGACATAGCAGAGGGTGGGGGATGGGGAATCAAGGATGGCAAAACAAAAGGCAAGGTATGCAGGACATAGGAATTGGAAAATTATTTGCTGAGAACATGTATGTTGATGTGCTTGATTGAGCCAATGCACAGGGTATTTTGGATGGAAAATTCATTTGTGTGTTGTGATGGTGTATAGTGAATTAATGTAGAAAATGAATTAATTAAAAAAAAAACTGTGGCACATATACTCCATGGAATAATATTCAGCCATAAAAAAACAAAACCTGGATTTTGACAGAATGTAGAAAAATATGAAAGATTTACTGCTGAGTGAAGCAAACCAGACTATGAAGTAGAGACATTGTATGTCTCCACTTAATGAATACCGAGTGTCCACAGTCTATGACTGAAACTAATTGACTAATGGATATACAAACACAGTAAATGGTTGCAAATACCAGATACAGTGTGTGGGAAAGTTTAGGGCCTGAGGAAGGACTTTTAGAAGAAAAATAAGAAGGCAAAACATTAATGGGACAAAGAAATGTGGTATTATGTGTTAAAAATATTTTATAGTTTTATCAACTGGACTAGGGAGAAATGTTCACATATTGAAATATTCACTTTGTAAACTAAATAATGTGATTGAATGTATAAAACAAAGTGAAATAAATAAAGAAAAGTGATAATTGCTGGCTGGAGTGTGGTGAAACTCCCAGACTGCTGATGGGAATGTAAATTGGTCCAGCCACTGTGGAGAACAATATGGAGGTTCATCAAAGATCTACAAATAGAACTACCACATGATCCAGCAATCCCACTCCTTGGTATCTACCCAAAGGACGACACATCCTTAGATGTAAAAGTGCATGCATATCAAAGTTTATTTTGGCCTTATTCATAATTTCTATATCATAGAACCAACCCAATGTCCATTAACAGAGGAATGGATTGAGAAAGTGTGCCACATATACTATTTGGAATACTACTCAGCCATAAAAACAAGACCCTGGCTTTGACAGAAAGAAGATGAATATGGAAGATTCACTACTGAGTGAACCAAGCCAGTTTATGAAGGAGAGATATCGTATGTCTCCATTCAATATATTCTGAGTGTCTGCACTCTATGCTCCAAACTGAATGACTAGAAATATATAAACCTAGAAAATGGCTATAGATACCAGGTACAGTTTGGGAAGAGGGTGGGAGAAGGAGGAGAGACTAAGGATAAACATTAAGGAGAGAAATAGATAGGCAAGGCATTTATAGGGCAAAGAAATTGGTTATTATCTGTCAAAGATAATGTGTATAGTATTCCCACCTAGACTGGTGAGAAATATATTCATATATTCATGTTGAAATATTCACTTTACAAGCTACATGACATATGTGATTAAATGCATAAAAGGAATAAAAATAAAAATAAAAATAATTAAAATTTAAAAAGCAGTTACTATGCCACATGCTTCTATTAGTTAAAGTTGCCCAGCAGCTCCCCATAAGGGATATTCTTGTTTTATCAGTAATTTCTCTGATAATTGCCTGTAAATTGGACTACAGAATATTATTTTGCATGACTTTGTTTTTGCATGTGAGCCCTAAGGATATAGTATTGGGGCTCATATTTACCATTTAAGAGTTTTCATAAATTAGGAATCCCATAGGTTACCATATTCAGATTGTACATTCAGCAATGAGTATCATGGGGCATTGCTTCACGGCCACCACAGATACCATTGGTCATATATTAAAATCCTTTTATAAAATTTTCTTCTTTTCACTTTTTATTTCATTTTCTTTTATACATTTAGTCACATTATTTAGGTTACAAAATGAATATTTCAACAGATGAACATTTCTCCCTAGTACAGTTGATAAAATTAGAAAATATCTTCAACAGATAATACCACGTTCCTTTTTGTATTTTTTTGGAGAGGTTTTTGCTCGAGGGAACGTGTGCTCACCAGATTGACAGAGAGACAGAGAGATGGAAATTGAGAAATCACCTCCCCCCCAGGGGGGATGGAAACGCTGCAATCCCTTCTCCTCCATTCTCCTCTCAGGATTTTGGGCACACACGCACGTAAGCCTGGCATGAGTTTATGTCACTGGGTCCGAGACTCATACTGCAGTCTACTACATGGGAGTTCAGTGACGTAGCCATTATGCCAACTGTTGGTCCCTATAAAATATACTTTAAAATCATTTATAATTCCTTCTCTGACCTTCTTCAATATAATTCATACCTTCTGCAACATATGCTTTATACCTTGCTCATTTGTCCTCTTTTTACTATTTTGCATTTTGAAATGATCCAGCCATCTTGTAG